AAAGAAGACACAGAATATATGTCTGATTCATTTGCATAAAGTACAAAGCAAACAAAACTGGCATATGGATTTAGAAGTCAGGATATGATTACTTTTTTTCTTTTCTTTCTTTTTCTTTTTTTTTTTTCAGTACTTGATATTGATTCAGGGGCTTTCCACCACAGAGCTACATCCCCAGCCTTTTTTATTTTATTTTGAGACAGGGACTCCCTAATTTGCTGAGGCTGGCCAATTAGGATAGTCCTGCCTCAGCCTCCAGAATTGCTAGGATTCCAGGTGTGCACCACCACACCCAGATAGGATATGGTTGCTTTTGGAAAAAGTGGGTAAGGGGAAGGAAAGGAGAATGAGTGGGCCTTCTAGGGCCTCCATTTGTTTATTTGGGTGTTGATTACATAGGCTTGTTCAGTTTGTGAAAATAAATCCAGCTCTCCATTTCCTATATGAAGGATACAGTAAAAGGTTAAAAAGTGTTGGGTGTAGTATAGAGGCTTGCTGTTCAGTCACCTGGGAAGGGACACCTTCTGGCTGACTGATTCATCCTGGGATGATGCATAAATGTCCTATGGTCTGGACCTGGACATGGTCTCAGTTCTCTGTCATGGTGGCTGGAACTTGTTTGGTTCAGGCCTGTGGTTTTCACCAAAGACAGACGCCTGGGCTATGATAGCCAAGAGCAAACTAAGATAGTGATGTCCTTTGACGTAAGGATGCTCAAGTGAGTCTGGAGAGGACAAGGATACCCCACTAATTCCACAGCGTTGCCTCAGCTATCCTGAAAAGGAAAACTTAGTGGAAAGACCTAGGGGCATCGACAGACTTCCTCAGCAAGAACCTTCCAAAACCTTCTGAGCCTATCTTTAATTTCTGGCAGGGGGTTTGTTGGTTGATGATGGAAATTCATATCTTCACATTTTTTATTGGAATATCATCAGAAATAAAAGAAACTTGCCAGGCACAGTGGTGCATGCCTGTAATATCAGAGGTTTGGGAGGCTGAGGAAGGAGAATTGTAAGTTCAAAGCCAGTCTCAGCAATTTAGGGAAGCCAGCAATTTAGTGAGACACTGTCTCAAAATAAAAAGGCCTATGATGTGGGGATGTGGTTCAGTGATTAAACGCCCCTGGGTTCAATCCCTGGAACAAAAATGGAAGGAAGGGAGGAAGGGAGGGAGGGAGGGGGGAGGGAGGAAGGAAGGAAGGAAGGAAGGAAAGGGAACTGAACTGCCAAGCATGTTGGCACACGACTATAGTGCCAGCTACTCAGGAGGCAAAGGCAGAAGGATCACATGAGCCTGGCCAACAGAGAGATCCTGTTTCTTAATAAATAAATGAAAGAAACTGACATCCTGGCTTTCCAAACATTGTAGTAATCTAGACATCCTGCCCTGTCCTTTGGAACATGAAACAGTGCTGACCCTTCCTAGTCATGTGAAAGATCAGCCCCCTGACAGAAGAACAATGACATCCCCCCTCATCACAACCTTTCATTGCTTCTTGGACAGTAGAATCCATCCCACATCTAACATGATCCAAGAGATGAAAATCAAGAGGAAAAACAAAAGTTACACCAAGAGGAAATTGCTACTTTATATCATCAGAAACTGGTGAAGTTTTTTTTTGTTGTTGTTGTTGTTGTTGTTTGTTTGTTTTGTTTTTTTAAGAACAAAATGGTAACATATTTGCAGGAAAATGGATTTCAAGTGTTCCTGACCAAGGAGAACAGAACACAATTTTAAACAGACTTGTATTTATTGCTGTGGTGATAGATAGGCATATATTCCAAGTGTGGTCCACAGACTGGTGCTACTTTTTTCTTTTTTTCCTCATCCAGGACAAGTATAGAATTTAAAGTAAGCATTTAGAAACTCTTATAGCATCTGTCAGAGCACTTTTTTATATGTCCTTTTTTATATGGGCTTATGAATTTTTTGGGGGGTGGTGGTGGTGCAAGGATTGAACCCAGGGCCTTATGCATGTAAGACAAGCAGTCTACCAACTGAGCCATATCCCCAGAGTGGGCTTGTAATTTTTATGTTGTTTCAGATTTAACTTTCCAAGGCATATATATGTATTATATTTTATGAAAGTATTGACTTGTGAGAAATTGAAAATAATCAAGACTGGTCCTCCTCCACAAATCATTTGAGAAGCACTGAGGTAGATAACAGGTTTTATTCATTAATTTGGGCAGACAGGTGGGAAATTGATTTATGAAAGATGCAAATCTCAATCCTATGCTGGCCCACAAACATTCCTGAAAGGCCCCAAACTGTTCTAATATAATGTGCAAGTAGAAATTTAAAGATTCCAGGGGATAGAGATACTGTATTGGATCTAGAGATACTGTATTGGATCTATCAGGCATAATCCACCTCTGTAATCTGTCCCCTGACAGGTTTAAGAAATGTCTTCCTAAAGTAGGTCATGAGGAATACAGTATACTCCAAGTAATAGAACTTTTATAAAAAATGCTTCCTTAGCTGGTCTCTTTATGCCTAATGAGTTGGTAAAAGAGTTGCAATAAAAATAGAGTCCCTGATCTTGGGAAGTGAGGTTGAGCTGACCCTAAGTAAAAAGAGTGTGTACCTTCAGTAGTGAAATGGTGTTTCACAAATGGCAGTAATGATGGCCTTGATCATCAACTCTTTTGAAATGCTTCATCATACACAGATCTCTGACTTTTCAAATTAATCTTGGGCTCCCTAGAACAAACCTGTAGGCAATTGAGGCATACACTTATTTCTACCAGCTTCCCCTTGCTTTTTTGAGGACAAGCTTGATCCTTGTCCTCAGTGCCAATTCAGGCCAATTTAATAATGAGGACAGAGAAAAGGGAAAAGAAGTTTTATTGCTTTGCTAGCAAAAGAGAAACACAGGGGATTCTTGTCCCTGAGGCTGTGATTCTGCCCATCAGGGAAACAGAGGGCTTTTAAAGAAGCTCTTCAAAGGCTGCATTCCAAGTGTGCCCTGACAGGGGGTCCCAGGTGCACTCTGAAGGTGTGTTGAAATTCACTTCTTAGATCCTCTGGCAGATATCTTCTTCCTGTGGTGGATGAGTTCAAGGACAATTAATTAGGGGAAGAAAAGAAAACACTTTCTCCCTAATCTTGTTAGGGATAGGGAGAAGAATGCGTCTTTTTAAAAAGAAACCTCAGAGCAAGGAGGGCTATATTCAAATGGTAAAGTGGACCACTGTTACACTTTCACCCTAGCAGCTGGGAGAGATGCTGACTTTACCAGCCTCCTTTGCAGCAGTCTTGTGACACAATTCTCACCAACAAGGAATCTATTGAGTGCTTCTCAAAATCTGCTTTTCATAATAAAAGGAACAACCAGGCATGGTGGCACAGGCCAAGCAATTCGAGAAGCTAGGCAGGAGGTTGGCAAGTTCAAGGCCAACCTCAGCAATTCAGCTACACCCTAAGCAGTTTCGTGAAACATTGTCCCAAAATAAGAAATAGAAGGGCTATGGTTGTGGCTCAGTGGTAGAGTGCTTGCCTAGCATGTGCGAGGCACTGGGTTCAAGTCTCAGCACCATATATATATATAAATAAATAAAGGTCCGTCAATAATTAATAAAAAATATTATTAAGAAATAGAGCTGGAGATGTAGATCTGTGATAAAGTGCCCCTGGGTTCAATTTCCAGTACCTAAATAAATAAATAAAAATAAGGAAAAGACCCTATCTTGCAAATAAGGGAAGTGTTAAGAGAATTCTTGAGTACAAAAAAGGCCAATCCAGGTCTCTAACCTTGTTCAGATTACAGACACACAGTACAACTACACTACACAGAATGGGGAGGCAGGTGGTTCCTCCAGGAGAGGAAAAAAAAGGGAAGGCTGCTAGATAGGGCATACAAATATACACTAGGTATTATTTCATAGAAGGCCCTGTTTTGTTTTTTTCTTTTTGTAGCCGAGATTGAACCCAAGGGCCTGTACCACTGAACCATATCCTCAGCCCTTTTTATTTTGAGACAGGGTCTCAATAAATTGCTTAGGGCCTCACTAAATGCTGAGACTGGCCTTGAGCTTGCAATCCTCCTACCTCACCCTCCAGAGTCACTGGGATTACAGTTATGCACCACCCAGCCAGAGCTAATATGTTTTAATTTAACCCATGAATGAAATTTGAGGGTGAGAAAAGGGTGGGGAGCTGAGGGGGAAAAAAAAAAGCGAGGCAAGAAGCAATGAAAATGAAAATAGACCCAAGCAACATGCCAGGTATCTGAGGACCAACAGAGAAAGATCCACTGGTGGAAAATTCCTCCTAGGAACATAAAGGACTTATTAGATCAAAATAGTAAATCCATAAGAATAAACAAACACACAAAGGGACAGTGAGAGAGCCCAGAAATAGAGTCAAGAACAATTGATACTCAAATAACCATAGGTTCTGCATCCAGGACTCAAACCAACTGTGGATCCAAAAGAAAAAAAAAATCTATACTGAATATGTACAGACTTTTTGCATCATTATTCCCTAACCAATATAGTATTACAACTATTGACACAGCATTTATATTGTATTAGGTTTCTTAAGTAATCTAGAGATGATTTAACCTAGACTTCAGAATGTGTAGGTTCTATGCAAATATGACGCCATTTTATACAAGGATGTCTAGGCAGCGTGTGTGTTTTTGGTGTCCAGGAACCAATCACCCACAAATAACTAGAGACGCCTGAATACATGATGATTTTTATTATTAAGGGCAGCATTTCAAACTATTGGGAATAGGGTAGTTTGTTTTAACCAATGGCGTTGGCATAATTGGCTCTCTCCATCTGATAGAAAACAAAGACTCTAGTTCCTACAGAAAGGTAAATCCCGGTCGTATTTAAAATTTTTAAAATGAAAGAAAACGTCTGGGGGAGACGTCTCGGGAAACTTTGCTAAGCTCGAACCCAGCGCGCGGTAGCTCGCTCATTGGCTGCTCACGCCTACGTCACAGGACGGATGTAGCCAATGGGGCCGGGGCGGGAGATTTGAAAGTGCCTCGGCAAAGCTGCGACCAGGCAGATTCAGTCGTTTTTTGCGGACGACGGGGACAGTAGCTGTGCCACGGGCTCGGGGTGAGCTGCTTTCCTTTCGCGGGCCCTGAGCTGGGAGAGGGCAGGTGATGAGGCAGATCAGGCGGTCCGTTGGTGGGCCCGCGTGCACTCGGCCAGGCTGCTGAGCGTTCAAGGATAGAGAGAGGGTCCGGAAAGTGGGTGGGACAGCGAGCAGGGCGGGGGCGCTGAGAGCGGAGCCCAGAAGCCTAAAGGCAGACCTCCCTTCCTCCAGCCCAGGCTAGCATTTCCGGTTAGATCGGTCCGACCTCTCTCTTTTCCTCTCTCACTCTTTTCTCAGCTCTGTTTTCCCTTCTCCACCCAGCTCTCCTCCTACTTTCTAAGGATGGCCCAGAAGGAGAATGCCTACCCCTGGCAGACGGTAAGGCCCTTTCCACCTTTCCGGCCACTTCCCCACCCCCCATTCACACTCCGAGCTAGGAGAGTTCCTACTTGGAGAGTTCGAGTCCTGCAGAGGACGATCCTCTAAGCCCTTTTCTTCCCTGTTGCGCTCCTACCTATGAGCCCCAAGAGTTTGCTGCATGCAGGAACTGATCTGGTCATTTGCCAGCCAAATGTTGTCAACTTCAATAGTGACTCTCTCACCCCTTGAGGATTTTTGTAGAGCTGAGCCTACTTGTCACAGGAAAATTATATCTGGGCCTGAACAGGCAAGGTTTGGTCTGCGGGCCATGATTCCCCGTCATCATCCTGAAAAAATAAACTGGGCAGAGAATTGATTCTGGAAGAACATAGATAAAGTTATTGTTTAAAATGTCCAGTCTAAAAATAATCCTTTGGAATTTATTTTCAATGGTTGTGATTGAACCCATGCCTCAGTGTATGCTAGGAAAGCACTCTATCACTGAACTACTTCCCCAGCCCTTGAATTTGCTTTAATGATAGGTATGAAGTAAGGATCCAAATAGATTTATTTTTCAGTTATCCAAACATCTTTCATTGAAGAGTCTACCCTCTGATTTTATTTTTTGTTTGTTTGTTTGTTTTTGATACCAAAAATGAAACATAAGAGGACTTTATACCACTGAGCTACTTCCCCAGCCCTTTTTATTTTTTGTTATATATGACAGCAGAATGCATTTCAGTTTGTAGTACACAATTTTTCATGCCTCTGGTTGTACGCAAAGTAGAGTCACACCATTTGTGTCTTCATACATGTACTTAGGGTAATTCCCCCCTGCCCCTTTAATTTTGAGACAAACAGAGTCTCACTAACTTGCTGAGTCTGGCCTTGAACTTGTGATCCTACAGGTATAGCCTTCTAAGTCACTGGGATTAGAGGTGTGCATACAACCAAATCTTGCTTACCCTTTGATTTGAAATGTCATATAATATTTCCACGTAGATGTGAAAATAGTCTATTTCTGGACTATATTGTGTATAGTATAGATTGACAAATAACCAAGCTGATAGTTGATAACCAACTATCAGCTTGGTTATTTGTCAATCTATACTAATATCACTGGGAACAGACTTTTAGGGTCACTGGAGGCTTTCTTCTCTTGGCTGAAGAAGGAAAGAGTCCTGCACAGGTTTTGCTCCCTGGTGTTGGAACTTGGCATCCTAGAGAGTCCATGTGTTCCCTTGCCACCTGCTTATTCCCTCATGGGATACAAAGTAAGGCTCACAAGAGTGGAGTCTGAAAGAGAAACCCTTGTCACTTTTGCCTTAGTCATTCCCAAAAGAAAGTGTGTCTCTGACAAGTTAAAAGTGAAGAAGTGGTCCAAGGCCATTGGAATAGACCATGGTGTCTCTAAAGCCTATTGTAGAGAATTACATACTGATGTTTGCTGCAACATTCAAGTCTTCAAGGACCTTATTCAAGCCTTAATGGTCTGAGCTTTTTAAAGGACTTTGAGAAAGCCTCTGTGTTAAATTCATTGAATTGTGGATGTTCATTGACCCCGCCCTCTGCTGTCCCATGGGATTGGAGGCTGGGTGAATGAGTATGATGATACAGACAGGACTATACAGGTTGGACAGTTTTGTGCTTCAGAAAGTAATGTGGACCAAAACCAAAAAGGTGAAATGTTTGATGTTAATCTTAGATTGTTTATTAGTAACCCATTTTACTTATTTATTTATATTTATTTAATTAGTTAGTTTTCAATCAATATTTATATGTGGTGCTGAGAATCAAACCCAGTGCCTTACACATGCTAGGTAAGTGCTCTACCATTGTGCTATGAGTCTAGTGCCTTAGTAACCCATTTTAATGTGCAGCAATAAATAGAATCTTGAAACTACGGAGCCAGATTGTAGTTATCAGTGTTTTTCTTTGAACTAGGGGTGGAAGGGTGGGTGGCTCTTTAGCAAGTAGATGAAATGCTGCTTGCAGCACATTCCAGCCTGGTCTCCAGGACAAAGGCATCCTCAGAGCTACCCCTGCTCCTTCTCAGTCTCAATCGGGCCTGAACACCCTACCCCAGAGGGTCCTCCGGAAGGAGCCTGCCACCCCATCTGCACTTGTCCTCATGAGTCGCCCCAACGGCCTGCCCACAGGTAACTGGGAAAAGGGGAAGAAGATTGACCACAGGGGCTAGATCTGAGAGGGTTTAGGGGTGAGAATATGAAAAGAGGGCCTCAACTTACCTGCTCTCTCCTTAGCTGCCCATGGCCAGAAGGTGAGAGAAAATAGCATTGGCGTGCGCAACTCCAGGTAAGTTCTCAAGCCTGGGGGTGGAGGGTGGGATGAGATGGTGAAGAGGCAGGAAATGGGGGAAGTAAAACCTAAAGGCTGGGGGAGTAGTGATGAAGAGAATGGGGTTGAGGGAGGGAGGGAAAGCATACACCTTAGAGGGTAGACAAGTGAGCACTGAGCTGCCTGCCCCCCTACTTTCTCATAGACAGCCCCTCACAATCAACGACTTTGAGATTGGGCGTCCTCTGGGCAAAGGCAAATTTGGAAATGTGTACTTGGCTCGAGAGAAGAAAAGTCATTTCATTGTGGCACTCAAGGTCCTCTTCAAGTCCCAGATCGAGAAGGAAGGTGTGGAACACCAGCTGCGCAGGGAGATCGAAATCCAGGCCCATCTGCAGTATGTTCCCACCTAGGAACCTAACCCCATTTGTGCCCTTACCCCAGATTGCTGTCTCTTAGCTGTGACCAGTGAGCCCCCTTTAGTTCTCAGTGTGGGTCAGCTATCCCAGCTCCCACTATCTACTCCTATCCCTGGTCCATGTGTGACCCTAGTTCAACCCATTGGGTCCTGTCTTCTTACCGGTTCTCTTCTCGCAGGCATCCCAACATCTTGCGGCTCTACAACTATTTTTATGATCGGAGGAGGATCTACTTGATTCTGGAGTATGCCCCCCGGGGAGAGCTCTACAAGGAGCTACAGAAGTGCCGCACTTTTGATGAGCAACGAACAGCCACGGTCGGGGCGGGTGGGCACCTGGGTCTCCAGCCAGGGGTTTGGAGGCTGGGGATATGTGGCTTATAGCTGGAGGCCTAACTGCCTGTTGTTGACCCTCTCAGATCATGGAGGAGTTGGCGGATGCTCTGATATACTGCCATGGGAAAAAGGTGATTCACAGAGATATAAAGCCAGAAAATCTGCTTTTAGGGCTCCAAGGTGAGCTGAAGATTGCGGACTTTGGCTGGTCGGTGCATGCTCCCTCTCTGAGGTATGATGGCTGGGGCAAGGGTTGGGGGAGCCCTGACATAAGGCTGCAGCATTCTACATAAAACCCCTTCAAATCTTATTACCCAGATGTTGGGATTTGTCCTCACATAACAGACTCAAACAGTTTGGTTGTCCCCATGACAAAGGTTTTCTACTTGATATATTGGGACCCTTTTGCCATATCACTGAGAAAACTCAAACATTTTTTAGGGCCTTACAAATGCTAGGCAAGCAACTTACTACTGAGCTACATTTCCAGTCCTTTTTATTTTTTATTTTGAGGTAGAATCTCACTCAATTGCTCAAGACCTTGCTAAATTGTCAAGTCTGGCCTTGAATTTCCCATCCTCCTACCTTAGCCTCCTGAATCAGTGGGATTGCAGTCCTGAGCCACCATGCCTGACTATCCATTGTCATTGTTCCTGATTTCATGGTATTGCATAGTAGAGATGTAATCTCAGTTATTTAAGCAGAACATTCTTGGTGGGCATTAGAGATGTCTCCATTTTTTTCTTTAATTTCAAGATGAGTATTGCTTTTATGTCAGATTATTTTATTAGGATACATCCCTCAGTGTGGCAATGAGGGGCAGTGGGTAGGCCAACCTCTGGTGCTTTGGTTTATTTCATCACCCAGCTCTACCCAGTGTTGCTGTCTGGTTTGGCTGGAACACTCTCCTGGTGCATCTGGGTGACAGTTAGTACCCAGCCATCAGGCAGCAGGGAGAGGAAAGTCTGTCTGACCTGAGACTCATGCCCGCTTTCTTCATCCCCCCAGGAGGAAGACAATGTGTGGTACCCTGGACTACCTGCCCCCAGAGATGATTGAGGGGCGCACACACAATGAGAAGGTAGATCTCTGGTGCATCGGGATACTCTGCTATGAGCTGCTGGTGGGGAACCCACCCTTCGAGAGTGCCTCACACAATGAGACCTATCGGAGGATCGTCAAGGTAAGAGGGCTGCCTGGGGCTCTGTCAGCTTCAGAGGCTGGGACTGACTGTAGACAGAATGGATGTACTCGGCCCTGCGCAAGTCTCTGAATAGAGTAGGTAATCAAGGAAAGTAACCATGGTGACAAATGCCATCTTTTTCCTTTCTCCACACTTGCAGGTGGACCTGAAGTTCCCTCCTTCTATGCCCGCAGGGGCCCAGGACCTCATCTGCAAGCTGCTCAAACATAACCCCTCTGAAAGGCTGCCCCTGGCCCAGGTCTCAGCTCACCCTTGGGTCCGGGCCCATTCGCGGAGGGTGCTGCCTCCCTCTGCCCCTCGTTCTGTCCCCTGATCATCTCTGTCATTTACTTGGTTGTATCTGTTTGTATGTCTGTGTGTGTTCAGGGGGAGAAGGAGCCCTAGCCTGTACCCTTATCTGTCTTCTACCTCCTTTTTATTTAATAAAGGCTGGAGCTTTTTGTACTGATGAATGTAGAGGTTCTGGGTGGAGGCTTTGCTGTGGAGGAAGCTGTCCCTTAGGGCAAGGAGGGAGCACCTATCCTGGGTGGTAGGGAGTGACACTGCATCATTATCTCTGGTAACTTCCCACCCTCCCAGCTCCCAGCCACCCCCACACACCCACTTCTTGGCCCTACTTTGATTCGCAGAACATGGGGGTAATTAGGGGACCTTAGCTCCCCACTGCTACACTTGATCTCTACCTGCCTTTTCCTGACTTGTAGTGTTTTCCTCTCCTGGCTCATTCATTGCCAACTTAGGAGTGAACTGAGTATGTCTGTAACCTATTATTTGTCAGTTTTTGTTTGTTTTACTGTGCTGGCTATGTCTCTCATAGGAATGAATAGAAGCAATATACGTTTTTTTGTTTGTTGACAGTGCTGGGGATGAAAACCAGGGACTTGAGCCTGGTAGGAAAGTCCTCTACCACTGAGCTAGTCCTTGCCATAGGGTTTTGTTTGTTTTTTTGTTTTGTTTTTTTGAGACAAGGTCTGGCTCTGCTGTCCAAGCTGGCCTTAAACTCCTGGGCTCAGGCAATCCTTCTGCTCCAGCCTCCTAAGTAGCTGGGACTTATAGGGCTTAACTCTGCCCAGTTATTTTTTTAGGTTTTTAATAGACAATCCTTCATCAGGAAGGAGGGTCTAGTCTACTCTAGTTCACTAGTGATCTTTTCTTTAAAGCAGATTTTCTGTATCATGAGTCAGAGTTGATTTTTTCCCTCTTTTTATTGATGCATTATAATTATACATAACAGAGGGATTTGTTATAATATATAAATACGTACACACAATAAAACAGTATAATTTTAATCAATTTTATTCCCCAATATCTCCTCTTTCCCGCCTCTCCCTCCCCCTGATCCCCTTATTCTATTCTCCTGATCTCCCTTCCATTTTTTTTTTAAAATTTGTTCTAATTAGTTCTATATGACAGTAGAATGCATTTTGACACATTGTACACAAATGGAGCACGTCTTCTCATTCCTCGGGCTATACAGGGTGCAAGTCACACCAGTAGTGTAATACATGTATACAGGGTATAATGTCTGTCTTATTCTGCCGTCCTTTCCATCCCCACAACTCTACCCCTCCCCACACTTACCTCTGCACAATCCAAAGTTCTTTCTTTCTTCCTTACCCCGCCCCAGAGTTGAGTTTCATCAAATGCTTTCTCTGCATATATTATTTGTTTTTTTCAATCCATGTGATGAATGCTTCAATAAATTTTCTTATTTTTATTTTATCCTAATTATGCATGCTATCTTGGATTACTAGGGCTGCTATTATAAATGACTTAAACTTGATAGTTTAAAGCAATAGAAATTTATTCTCTCACAGTTCTGGAAGCCCTTGGCCTGAAATCAAGATGTTAGGGGTATCCTGCTCTCTCTGAAGGCTCTAGAGAGAATCCTTCTTTGCCACTTTCAGCATCAGATGATTCCAGCATTTCTTTATAACTCTGGTCTCTGTCTCCATCTTCACATGGCCTTCCCTCTCCTCTCCTCTCTCTCTCCTCTGTGCCTTTTTTAAAAATTATATTTAGTTGTAGATGGACACAATGCTTTTATTTATTCTTTATGTAATGCTGAGGATTGAACCCAGTGCCTCACATGTGCTAGGCAAGAGCTCTGCCACTGAGCCACAACGCCAACCCCTCTTCTGTGCCTTTTAAGAACACAAGTCATTTGACTTAGGGCTTTCCCAGATAATCCAAGGTGATTTCACCTTAAGACCTTTAATTACATCTCCTGAGACCCGTTTTCCCCTCAAAATGTCACATTTATAAATTCTAGGGATTAGGATGTAGACATGTTTATGGGAACACTATGTAATCCATTATACATGCTAATAGATTAGAACAAATGAATGATATGCCAAAGATTCTCTTTTATTTTTAAGAAATTTTCCCGGGCTGGGGTTGTGGCTCAGTTGTAGAGCGCTCGCCTAGCATGCATAAGGCCCTGGGTTCAGTCTTCAGCACCACATATAAATAAAAAAAAAAAGATCCATTTACAACTAAAAATATTAATAAATAAATAAACAAAATAAAGGTATTGTCTCAACTACAACTAAAAAAAAATATGAAAAGAAATCTTCCTATTTCCATCTCAGAGACTAGTAATTTCAAGTCTTTTCACTATTTTGTTTTGCTTTGCTTTTGGCATTTACTATAAGCAGATGCTTCTCAATTTACTGGTGTTAATTACATCCTGATAGACTCATCAGAAGTCAAAAAAAAATTGTAAGCTGAAAAATGCCTTTAATTGCTAACCTATATGAAACATCAATAGTGTGCCCAGCCACTTTAACTGAGAAAACTTACTTTAGCCTACAGTTCAGCAAAATCCTCTGACATAGACCTATTTTATAACAAAGTGTTAAATAATCCATAATTTGCTGAATACTGAAAGTGAAAAATAGTTATATTGGAACACTTTGGCACCATCAAAAAATTGGAAGTCAGACCATTGTGAGACATCTGTATTTCTAAATCACATGCTTCTGTTGTTTCTTAAGTTTTCACTTTTAGACATTACCTATTATTTTCTCATTATAAAATTTTGGGGTTGGAGGAAGAGCTCAGTGGTAAGCTAAGCACAGGCCTTGGGCTGAATCCCCAGCATTGGGAAATTAAAAAAAAGATTTTATTCTTTCATCCCACTACCACCATCCATGTGTACATTTTCTGTCACAACAGCCTTCTGATGTAGTTACATCGTAATTTTGGTTAGATTTATTCATTTGACAATAGTTACTGAGTACATTCTATGTTCTAGGCACTATTCTAGAGGCTGAGAGTGAAGCAATGGATAAAAGAAGAAATTGGGGACAGAGCTCAGTGGTAGAGTGCTGGTCTAGCATGCTCCAGACCCTGGGTTCAATCCTCAGCAATGCAAAAACCAATAATAATCCTTTGCTCACAAAGCTTACATATTTATTTATTTATTTTTTTTAATATTTATTTTTTAGTTTTCGGCGGACACAACATCTTTGTTTGTATGTGGTGCTGAGGATCGAACCCGGGCCGCACGCATGCCAGGCGAGCGCGCTACTGCTTGAGCCACATCCCCAGCCCCAAAGCTTACATATTTAAAGGGCAAATGCCCAGTGTTTATATCATCACTAAGAAGTTAACAGGCTGACACAAGCAGCATTATATTGTTGACCATCCCTGAAAGTCAGTTATCTGGTTATCATTTGGTCAGTAAATATATTACTAATCTATCTACAAACTCTCCCCCAGTCTAAGCACCCAAAGCTATACATATTCATCAAAATATTCCCTAGTGGCGGGCACCTGTAATCCCAGGAGCTTGGGAGCCTGAGGCAGGAGGATCGCCAGTTCAAAGCCAGCCTCAGCAATTTAACAAGGCCCTCAGCAACTCAGTGAGAACCTCCCTGTCTCTAAATTAAATACAAAATAGGGCTGGGGGTCTGGCTCAATGGTCAAGTGCTCCTGGGTTCAACTCCTGGTACCCCAAAAAAGCAAAATATTTCACTGTACCACACAGGCCTAAAATATAGTGTATTTTGTTATTATTCAGTTCTCAATTTTTTTTCCTGACTTTTGCCAGTTCCACTGATTCCGGAATTTTTTAAAGGTGTTTTTTTTTTTTTTTTTTTTTTTTTTTTTTAATTTTTTTTATGTTAATGGAACTTTATTTTATCCATTTATTTATATGTGGTGCTGAGAATGGAACCCAGTGCCTCACACTTGCTAGGCAAGTGCTCTACCATTGAGCCACAACCCCAGCCCTTGAAAGGTGTTTTAAATATTCCAGACACAGGAGACTAACCCAACCCCCACCCCCAACCCACCCTGCTTTGTGCTCTATTCCCATTTTCCTTTACCCTCTCTACCAAGTCCCTTTAGCAGATGCCCTGTTCTTGCCACTCCTCGTCTCCATGTACCCTGGGACCTCCTTCTCCAAAGCTTGGATGTCAGCCCAGGATTGTCTCATTATTTTTTTTTTTATTTATATAAATTAAACAAGTGGATTCTCTTATGGGTGCTATGAATAAGATAAAATTCCACTTTCCAAATATCCTAATATCAGAAACATAATATCAATTGGTTTGGCAACATCTTTCTAGCCCTCTTTCTTTGTATTTATATTCATATCTATATACTTCCAGAAGACAGCATATTTTTAAAGGTTTTATTCATTTTATCATATCACCCAAAAATATTCATACAGAGATGACTGCAAATTAAAGACAGCATATTTTTAGCACATGGGGACTTCTTTTATGTAAATTGCATTGCACTGTATGTAATTTTTATCACTTGCTTTTTGCCAATTTTATCTTAGAAGGTTTTGACAGTTTGGGTACATGTACTTTTTTTTTTTTTTTAACATTTACTTTTTAGTTTTCGGGGGACACAACATCTTTCTTTGTATGTGGTGCTGAGGATCGAACCCCGGGCCGCACGCATGCCAGGCAAGCGTGCTACACCGCTTGAGCCACCTCCCCAGCCCTGTCTTTTGTTTTTAAAAATTGCTACACTACAGTACTTAATGTGGATATTCCTAGGTTTTTAAGTTGTAAACTTGGACTCCCTCCCCAAATTCCCAAGGCCTGGGGAACCTAGGGTCACTCTATCAATGAACTGACTACATCCCTAATCCTTTTATAAATTTTGAGACAGACTATCTCTAAATTGCCCTGGCTGGCTTTGGTGGTCCTCCCACCTCAGGCTCCCAAATAGCTAGGATTACAAATAAGCACCACCTCACCCAAGCTATTCTAGGTTTTCTTTTTTTAAAGAAGCTACTCTATTGATGACATGTAGATTTCTTTCTTGCTTTTTTTTTTTTGCTGAGGCTGTGTGTATGTGGGCGGGTGGTACTGAACTCAGTGGCACTTGACCACTGAGCCACATCCCCAGCCCTATTTTGTATTTTATTTAGAGACAGGGTTTCACTGAGTTGCTTAGTGCACTTTTGCTGAGGCTGGCTTTGAACTCAGGA